GCCAGCGCGGGAGGGGCCGGGGAGGCCGGGCCCCTGGAGGGGGGCCGGCCGTTCCGTGTGCTGCTGCGTGGGGGACGTGAGCCCCCGGCCTCGGGGCCGGCCGTTCGGTGCGCGGCTGCACTGGGGCGTGAACCCCCAGTCGCGGGGCCCCTGGAGGGGGGCCGGCCGTTCAGCGCAGCTCCTATGTATTCTTCAATAATTACATTCACATTGATACTCCATGAAAATAACAATTATATGCCTATGCATATGTGTGCGTAAATACTAAAATATATTCATAGCTTCCAAGAGAATGGAAAGGGTGTATTCTGCCCAACACACAATCTGAGAATGAAAAAGTTTAAAGAAGGTATGGTCATTGTTGGAAAACCATGTCACTTACTGAATAAGGATGGTGAAAAGGGCACAATATTATTATTACAATTGTTTTCAGGGCTAGCCACTATTTTGTTTGACAATTGCAATTGCTCAAAGCAAAGAAATAACATTCAATTGTCATTCTTTTAGAACTGGAAAATAGAGTTCTTAATGTGTTCATTGATTTTTTTTTATTAATTTCCATACTAATTTTTTATCCCTTGAAAAATCATGCCATACTAATGCACTGAATTATTTTGGTAAATGCTCCCCTTCCCTCCCTTAAGAATTAAAGAAATTTTCCCTTGATTTCAAGTGCTACAGAAACTGAAAAAAAAAATCATTTGTTTAGAGTAACCAGTATCTTACCTGCCAAATAATTTTAAGTGGATTTTTTTAATTCCTGAGGGGGGTAAAATCACTGTGAGGATTATGGGAAACAGTAGGATATAAGGATACTGGGTTTGCCAGTGGCCATTTTTCTGTATCCTAAATATCTTCCACTGAAGTTGGGCCATTGCTTACCTTGTTTTCTTCCAATGTAGTTCCAACCTTGAATTATTTTCAGCTTGACCTGAAAGTCACTAAAAATATTACTGTATGCACTGACCTGGTATGTTGTAAGTAAACTATAATATGAAAAAGCTTTACTTTAAGTTACAAAACTAAATAGTTTTGTGACCTTCAGCAAGTTACTTAATACCTTCAAGTTTCAGATTCCCCAAGGATGATAAAAATCGCTTTCCTCTGTACTTTCAAGATTGTTTAATAATGAATATCATACTTTCTCTGAAAATGATTTTTACCATTTTAACCATTAAAGATATTACAAGTAGTCAAGAAGCTTCTATGTATTTAATTTTCTTACTCTCTCTTTGAATATTATTGTATTAATATCTCAAAGACTTATTATGTTACATACTATCAAAGGCAATGGCTGATGTTATTTTACTAGGGACTAAGCCAGAATTGGAAGTGAATAATTTCTATAAATGAGATTTTAGTAGTATTCCAGAGGCTCTCAATTACTTGAAAAGATAAAATAATTAAAAAAGAATGTTTATATGATAATTTTCAAGTTTTGTCCCTAAGGCTAAATTAAAATTTTATAGTAAATGTGTTGAGAAGATGCTAAATATTATTTCATATAGCATGTGTTGTAATAGATTCAATTTAGATGCAACTCACATGGAAACATTTATTAACTACTTTAATTACGAAAATAAGTTCAGTCATAGCAATAGAATTATAAATATTTGGGTAATAAGAATGCAAAATTCCTCTTTAATACTGACAAACTAACTTTATACAGTATTTTCTTTAAATATGCATTGACTATAAAATGAAATAAATCACCTCCAAAACAGTTTATTTTAGAAAAAGAGCAATCTTAAATGAAAATAACAATATAAATAAAGCTAAGTATAGAAACACCTGAAGTCTCCTCTCCTATGTAGCACCTCATTGGAAATAAGGTAATCTTTAAGATTGCAGTTAGTTTTCAGTCAGAGTTGACCCACGTTAAAATAGTGGTATCAGGCCAGAGATTCATGAACTATTCATCAACGTCAATGAGAGACCAGTAGCTGGCCATCAGCTGTTTTCTAAAATGAGTTTAACTGGTTATCTGTGTCAAGGCAACAATGTGTAGAAAAACCGAGGCATGCCTTGGGGAGCAGGTTACCTACATTTTCTAGAGGTTCCATCAGCAGTGTACCATTAAAGATGGTCCTAGGACTGTGGAGTCCCAAATTTAAAGTGACTATACTTGCAGGTTGGCTTCCAACACAGCCTGTTGATTCAGGCACCAGAAGAAAAAGGCCTACTTCCAGATAGGTGGTATAAAGTACTAATTAAAATACCCAAGTGCAATACACACCATCAATACTCTAATAATTCTACTTGATGTTAAGCCATCTACTTGTTAGTGGAGGTTCAATTTATATAACAGAAGAGCTTGTGAAAAACTATGCTTGATGAGTAGAACCCTAGTTTAGCCATGGTTTAATAACACTCCTTTGGGTGAGGATGTGATTATGCTGCATAGGGCGAAGACTGGAGCTTCTGACTTGTCAATCAATTGAACCTCACCGAAATGGTAAACTCTTTGGATCTAAGGAAATGAAGACTTTTGTGTTGTATCTTGAACCTGCAATCCTGGTAAAAGTCAGGGAAGCGTAAGTAGCCCTAGGGGTGCATGGGTGCATACAGATATACCTCAGAGGCTTGCCAGGTGAAAGTGAGTTAGTCTTGAACCCCAATGGCCAGTGGAATGGAGAAAAAGCATTGGAAATGTCCCGAATAGCACATTCTATGCCATCAATCCCTCCACTGGACCCAGCTGTAATCACACTGTCTGGAAGAACTATGGTTACATGAGCCAACCTGAATTCAGTTGATGATGTTCCACTTGAGTCCTGCTCTTGTCAGCCTGTCTGCTGGCCAGGCAGGCTGTTGTATTGAGTAGCCCATCTTTGATTATCCCTGCTACCTGTAATTTCCTAATCAGAACTGTGATTTCAAAAGAAAATAATAAAAAAGAAGCTCATTCACCTGGGATTCCATATTATTTTTATAGGACCATGTGAGAAGGAACAGAAATCACCTCTCTATATGCAGCAATCCTTAAATGAGAGAATCTCCTTTGACACTATGAGCACTTAAAGTGTGAGTATGTAAACTCATGAATACTAATTACACATTTTCACAACAACAGTGCATTGATTTGGCACAAGCAAAGTCACTATAGATTCCTAAACCATGTGAGTTGTTTGCTTGTAAGGTTTGTGTGTGTGTGTGTGTGTGTGTGTGTGTGTGTGTTTTACGCTATAAGAACGCAGATAAAAATGTTCAGCCCTCTCCTGGAAGAGACTATGGAGCAAGCAGGAACACAGAGGGGTCTAAGCTGTTCACAATGATAAAGGAGGTGTTTTTTTTTTTATTTATTTTTTATTTTTAATCTTTTGTCTCTGTTCAGAGGCAGCACTTAACTGCCTACACTGTTGTGTCTCTGCTGGTTCCTGTCAGTGTTCAGGCCTAGGGGCTCATTTGCCTCCACTTCTGCTGATTTCCTGCTTTTATCCACTTCTGCACACAGCTCATTAGTCTTAGCTGTATGGCCCCTGTGTTGGGGAGGGAAGGATTGCTGTCCCACTGTCATGATAACTTCTCTTCATCTTCCCATCAGAGGAGAGTGAGTAAAAATCAAAGCACTATCTGGTGGTTTATTTTAATCTTAACTCACAGTGTTTAGCCTCTAAAGCTTCATTCACAGGTAGGACAGTGGAGAGTCCTTATTTCAGCTGATTCCTGTGGGAGGAGAAAGGAGTTGGTTCAATGTCCACTCTGCAGGTAAACTTCAAGAAGAAAGCCATATTGTAACAGACATTTACTCAGATTTGAGACACAGAGCTGCAGACATCTAGAGCAATTTTTAGTGCCTCTGGATTTATTTCAAAACCCACAGGTTTTGTTGATGGATTGAATGTGAAGTGTAAGAGCAAGTGCAGAGTGAAAAATGACTCCAAGCTTTTTATTTTTTTTTAACTCTGTTCTATTGTATGGATGGAGTTGACTTTTAAAAGTTAGAAATATCATAAGAGAACTTTACTTACAGGAAGTTGACCTAAGATTAGATGCGTGCATTTTCTTCAGTATTATTTTCCTTAGTCTTCACTTCATTTTAAAATAGTTCATTTCAGATTTACTACTGAAGTGTAATTTCAAAATAGACATTGGGTCTGTTTTGGGGGTACATGGTGATGCTTTGGTTGTGTGAAGGATTGGGTTTAATAGACACAGATAGTAAACCATGAGTGGTGAATGAAAACTGAGTGAAATATGCAAAGAAAGAGATTAGTCATAGAATCTAAAACAAGCAAAGAAAGAGAGAATATAAAGATGTTAAGGAATGATGAAGAGAGAATAGAAACAGTGTTGTGTAGGTTGTGATAGAATTGAAGAATTGTAGGTGATGACATCCCAGAAGGAATTATCAAGAATACAAGAGGTGCTAATTAGGATGGAATAATTTAAAAAGTGACTCAATAATTTCAATAATGAAATTAACAAGTTTGTTTCTGAAGGGTTAGTACTGAATGTTAACACCACCTTGTAATTAGATCATACATTAGTGGCCAAGTTTCTACTTAATTTAACCATATTATTCCATTAGCTATACATAAACATACACATATGCAAACACACACACACACATACACACATGCACACACACATCCCACATGTGTTTCTTACTAATATTTGGTGTCAAGACTGGTCAGAATTTAAGTTTTCTCCAATTTCGTGTTCTGCACATGACTTCTTACTTAACATGAAATAAATATGGGGCCCTAAACCCCTCATACCATGTAAAGCTTGAATAAGTCCAAACTTAGTTGTAAAATTTGGACTTAAAAGATTTCTGTGTGTGTTCTATTATTTTTACACCAAATTAAGCAAGAACAGCAAAAACAAATGTTTTAATATAACCACATAATGTGTAAAAATTCTTTCCAATTTATCATTTAGTTTTCAAAGCTCTTAATATATGTATTACATTAGAAACAAATGATGATTCATAGGAATTCATCTAGAAAATTACTGAGAATATATCCACAAAGAACCATAAGGTATTTGGTTACTATAAAAAGTTAACATTATTTTATTTTTGTAAAATGAAAAAGCAATAAAATGTATAGATGCATCCAAGAAGTTGAGTAAGGAAGAAACATATATGTATTTGTATGTGTATAATCAATAAAATATACACAGACATATACATATGAAACCAAAACCTCCACATATTCTACCAATGGAAAATTGTTTTCCTTCAAAAAGAAATACAGGGAAGGCACCTGGCGAGCAAGGGGGCACACTGCCCCCACTGACTCCCTTCCAGACTGCCCAGTCCAGGATCCACCCAGACCCCTAGGCAGACTGCGCCTTGGCTGCAGCAGCCTGGTACATCTGAAGGCACACTGCTCCTCAGTGATTCCCTTCCAGGCCCCCCAGTCGAGGATCCACCCAGACCTCTAGGCAGGGAAAAACGAGATTCTGCTAGTCAGACACCTGACTATAGTATCTTTTTTGAGATCACATTACTAAAAACAACAGAATGGAGACTTCAACAGACGTCAATTCCCAACAAAAGGGAAAGACACTCCTAGCCAGTGAAACATTCGCATAACAGGTACTTAACAGTTAGTACATCTTCTAATGGCTAGAAGTAGAAGAAGAGCCTCCATTATGAATAAACAAGGAAATATATCTCCATCAAAGGTACAGAGTGACTCCCCTCCATCTTCAGGGCTAATGGATAACGTTACCAAGATGTCAGACAAAGAATTTCGAACATTTATGGTGAACAAATTCTTTGAGTTGGAACAGAAAAGAGACAATGAACTACAGGAAATGAGAAAGTCATTCCAAGATAAGAAAGAAGAAATGAACACTCTGAGAAAGAACCAGATGGAGCTATTAGAGATAAAGTCTGGAATAAAGGAAATCAAAAACTCCCTTGAAAGTATTAAAAGTCAATTAGATCATGCTGAAGATCGAATCTCTGATGTAGAAGATAAAATCTCTGACCTAGAAAGAACCATGAAAAAGATAGAGAAAATAAATAAAAAACACAACAATAATATACGAGAAATACTAGATTCCATAAGACGCCCAAATATCAGAATAATTGGCATCCCAGAAGGTGAAGAAACCAATAATGGCATGGAAAATCTATTCCATAAAATCGTGGAAGAAAATTTCTCGAGTCTAGAGAGGCACTCAAGCATCAAGTCCCAAGAAATACAAAGGACCCCAGTTAGAATCAACCCCAGAAGATCTTCCCCAAGGCAAATCATAGCCAGACTATCCAAGACCACAGATAAAGACATGATACTAAAACTGGCAAGAGAGAAACGAGAAGTGACATACAAAGGTCATCTCATCAGGCTAACTCTGGACCTTTCAATAGAAACAATGCAAGCAAGGAAAGAATGGGAAAATGTATTGAAAGTGCTGAGAGAAACAATTTCAACAAGATTATTGTATCCTGCAAGATTATCCTTCATATGGGAAAAAAAGGTTAAAATCTTCTCAGACAAACAAGTCCTGAAAGAATTTGCCAGCAACAGACCAGCTCTTCAAGAAACCCTGAAGACAGCACTGTTTCAGGAAAACTGAAGAGCTAACAGACAGAAACAAAGGAATAAAAGGCTGCTGTGACAATGACCAACTTAAACGCCGGGACAGATCCAGTAACATCGATAATAACATTGAATATGAACGGATTAAATTCCCAATCAAGAGACACAGACTGGCCAAGTGGATAAAAAAACAGAGACCCTCTATCTGTTGCCTACAGGAAACCCACCTCATCGATAAAGACATACATAGACTGAAAGTGAAGGATTGGAAAAAGGTTTTCCATGCAATAGGGAACCAAAAAAAAAAAAAGAAAAAAAAAAAGCTGGGGTTGCAATACTAATTTCTGACAATATAGCCTTTAAAACAAAAAGAAATACAGAATTTATGGAAACCCCAAATTTCTTATAAACTGAGAATTATAGAACTTTCTTCATATATATTCAAGAACTGTCTAGAGTTCAATAGGTTTGTATGACCCAAGAAAGAAATGAAGCTAATAAAACTGGAAACTCATTGAGTTTTAAAAGGTGATGACCATGGAAATAGAAGTGCAATGTTTCAAATTGACAGGGTAGCATAAATATGTGCTGCTGGGTCTGGATATAGACCTGTCACTGATAAAACAGTGCACCTGTTTAGACTCTCTGGCAGTAGTCACATCAAACAAACAAACAAAAATGTGTGAAAAGAAATTCCTTTGTGAGTAAAGAGGATGCTTACTTAGATCCCTTTTAAATCATTATGGAAAAGGCAGTCATTTGATTTTATTATAAATTCTTCTTCATACAATTATTTTTTTTAAATATGAGTTTTAGTCCAAGTACTCATGTATGTATTTTATGAAATAAAACATGCTTTTTTTAAAATCTTTGAATACTGGATTTTTTCTTTGAAATTCTCTATCTTATAATTCTGAAAGACAAAAGCCTAAATAATATCTGACAAGGATGAAACCAAAGACTCTGCATAGAGGCTAGAAAAAAAAAAAAAAACACATTTTCTTGGCTTTTTCAAAGTTATAGTTGTTCTTCTAGAACTCCTCTTCAAAGACACTGGCATACGATAAAACAGTGCACCTGTTTAGACTTTGGCAGTAGTCAAAGCAAACAAACAAACAAAAATGTGTGAAAAGAAATTCCTTTGTGAGTAAAGAGGATGCTTACTTAGATCCCTTTTAAATCATTATGGAAAAGGCAGTCGTTTGATTTTATTATAAATTCTTCTTCATACAATTATTTTTTTTAAATATGAGTTTTAGTCCAAGTACTCATGTATGTATTTTATGAAATAAAACATGCTTTTTTTAAAATCTTTGAATACTGGATTTTTTCTTTGAAATTCTCTATCTTATAATTCTGAAAGACAAAAGCCTAAATAATATCTGACAAGGATGAAACCAAAGACTCTGCATAGAGGCTAGAAAAAAAAAACAAAAAAACCACATTTTCTTCGCTTTTTCAACGTTATAGTTGTTCTTCTAGAACTCCTCTTCAAAGACACTGGCATAGCATCTTCCAGTCTTTCTTTGGTTTTGGGTCCAAGTGGTGGCAAAGTGGTAGAAAATGGGAAAGATCCTTGATTAATATCCAGGTCCTCCCTGAAACACGCCAGGTACATGGATGTGCCCAGGATCTGGCCTAGATGAGACTAGGGGTACATTAGAGTATGAAGATAATGTTGGGGGTGATTTTCTCAATCTCTCTCTCTCTCTCCTAGAAGAAATATGTAAGCAAATTAACTTTTCAAAAAAATCTTTCTCTGCTTCTCTCTTCACAATGGCTTCTTAGAAGAATTCCAGTGTCTGCATCTTGACCTAGCTCACCTAGGAAAATCTCCCCACTCCAGGTGCCAGGTCACGGTCCTAGAATGTCCCTGTAAATGTCAGAAGCACATGTGCTTGCCTACAAAACAGACTGACTGAGGCTAGGGGTGGATTGCAGTATACAAACCTTGTTGAGGGTGTATGCATCTCTCTCTGCCTGATTTGTTAACAGAAGAAATAAATAAATTTTTGAAAGAGGTAATGTGTGCACGTAAACAAGGTTTAATTCATTTGTGCAAAAGTTTCATCAAAATCATTGAATAGTCAGCTTTCTAACATTGTAATTTGGTGACGTTTTAATTTAATAAAGGAATTATAAATACTGTTACTTGAAAAATATAAATTGCAAATAATAATATTAGCATAAACATTTTTCAGAAGTTTCTAAGCCTTTAAGGAAAAGTAAATATATCCTATTTTAAAATTCTATCATCCAGCAGGTGGTGTGGTGGTTAAGGTTCTGGACACTCCTAAATGGCTGATCATTGTTCCAGTCTAGAACCTGGTGGTTTACTTTCTCATTTTCCCTCTCTCTCTCTTTCTCTGTGTGTCTCTCTGGTCAAATTAAAAAAAATAAAAGAATGAATAAAGAATATTGATTCTTTAAAAAAATAAATAAATAAAATTCTATCTTCCAAGGTAAAATGCTAAAATTTCAATGTTGACACTTTCCTTTATAGGACATTTTCATGAATCAAATCATTATTAAAGACCAATTTGGGACCAGCAGATGGCGAAATCGTTATGCTGCTCGACTCTACTGTAGTTGACTGTGGTTTGAGTCCCAGACACCAGGGCTTAAAACTCATGTTGGGCACATGTGTGTGCATACTCAAGATCCTGAGAGTAGAATGAAGGAGAAGGGATTGCCACATGACCATCCCCCTGGGGGGTGATTTCTCCCTTTCTGTGCCTCTGTCTCTTTCTACCCCTCTAGCAAGTACATGTGCCCTATAGCAAAAATCTCTCTAAAAATAATATATATATAATTTATATATATATTTTGTATTAGTACTAAGCATATTTCTACATTTTTTAGAACCACATACTGTCTTGATATAGTAATAAATCGTAATGTGTTGAGAACATAAACCTCTAATTTACTTGGTGTTTGGACCAAGAAAATATTAAGTCAATTGTTTTTGCACTAAAATTATTGTAAGTGATCAAATCAACTCAAATTTTATCATAACAATTTATTGTTCTTAAAATTTTGAGGGCATAATTTCTGCTTAATTTTGTTTTCTGTATTCCAAATTGCACAAATCTCCACAGGATACTAATGGAGAGCATGTTTTCACTAAAATAACATTTTTTTTTTAATTTGTAAGACTTTAAGGGAATGCAAGTATATTTCATTTTAAAATACTGCCATTCAAGCAATTCAATTTTAATAAAATGTTCATAACAAAAGAAGGTTTTGACATTTTTCTAGTCATAATAAAGGAAATGCTGAACTGTATATGTTAGTTTATTTCAACAAGGGCATCATGCATTATTCATCTTCATTCAAATTCATATTGATTGTAATATCTTTTGATATATCATCTTGGTATTTATTGGTTCCATTAATATTCTAGCACTGTGCTCATGTGAAGAAAAATAGAAAACATCTTATAATATGTAGCTGAAGTAAAGTCTAAATGCCCTATATGGTCCTTCAAATATAAAAGGCTAGGGGAAATAAAAAATAGCTTATTCAGCACCAGACAAAGCAGTCATTAAGTAATTCAACAAATTCTAACATATTTAATTTTATAGGTTAAGAGACTGCACCTTCAAATCACAAGATAAAATATAGCAAAGCCTATGTTTATGGTAGTAAATATTTCTCGGTAAGGGAAGTATTTCTTAATGACTTTATTATGTAATAATGTGTAATATTTTCATGAATATTATGCACTCTGTGTATAAGGGTACGTGCTTACTTATGAGGCTGTGTATGTGTGGAGTGATGTGTGTACATGCATCCGCATGTGAATATATGTGTGTATGCATATGTGTATGTGTGGCTCTGTGGATGTGAGGAACATGGATATGTGTGAATGTGGGTGTTGAGGCCTGTGGAAATAAATGGACAGGTGCATGCGCTCATGTGTTTGTACATATGTGTGCACAAATGTGTGTGTGATGAATGTGTCTGTGTCAGTGGTTCTCAAACAGGACAAATCCCCCTCCCCCACCAAGGGACTATTTTTCCAATATCTGGATGCGTTTTTGGTTGTTACAGCTGGAAGGGAGACGTGCTACTGATTTCTACTGGGAAGAGACTAAGTAGTGAGCCACAAGATGCTGCTTAAAAACTTGCAATGCACAACTCAAACCCCACACGACAAATTACCCTGCACGAAGCAGAATATCAATAGTGCTGAGTTTGAGAAACACTGGTGTGTGTGTTTGGAGGGTGGGGGGAGATTTTTTTACAGGGTGCTATAAAACTTGCACAGAGTAAGCAATCAATAACCTTTTCTGTGATTTTATGCCTCATGTCATAAACAAAACCTGAGGCTATCTTATTATGCTCCTTTGCATCATTGTTATCCAGCACCCCTGAGAAGGCTTTTGCTACTCATGTCTGACAAACCATTTAGGAGCTAACAGTTGGCACCTCCTTAATGTAGGTATGAAACTTATACACTTGCCCAATCATAAATTTATTCTAACAAAGATTCCTTTCAGAGACCCTCAGAAGAGCAATTTTTTTTTTCTTTTTTAGCTATTGAAAAAAATCATATAATTTTGTCCTCAAAAAAGTCATGCCTGTTTAAATAAGTGTTCTGGTATATGTGAGATTGAGTCTTTTAAGGAAATTATTGATTTATTACAATTTGCTTCATTACTCTATAGATGATTTAATACATTTGATGCATGAGATCTGTGTATATATTTTTTAATTTATGAAATATACAAAAATGTGAAATGATCTTTTCTGTTTGTCTTTCCTTATCTATAGTTCACAAAAACATTCTGGAATTCAAAGTACTACCTAATTCACTCATTATCTCTGTTTCTAGGAAAGTCCTTTTTAATCATAACATAAACTATGCACTAGGTAGATGGTTTAATCCCATCCCTTTCATAACAATTTCTATTTTCTCACCTTCCAGATTGTTCAGGCTCATCCTAGTAGAAGAAAAGACAGAAAATGATATCTCCAATTTATTACTGAATTTGTCTGGGGGCACTGTTCTGATAGAAATGACACTAAATCCACTGGGAAGTAGAAACTATGGATGTGATGAGGATGCAGCCCACACATCTCTGATCAAACCGTTGACTCTGTTACTACAGCTGTCAAAATAAACTGATGTGAAATATGAAAAAAGAGACTTCTCATTTTTAACTGCCAGATGCACTGCGATCACTCTCTCAAAATATTTTCTATTCATTATATGAAAGATACATACATGCTCTGTCATAGAGTTGTAAATGTATACGCTATGTTGATTGTGCACATGTCAAAGGCAGGTTTGTTTATTTGCACAAAGACATGCATGCTACAATCTCGTATATCAGGTTATTTCTGGCAGCCTGCACACACAGTTGATTCTTAAAGCATATATTTATAGTAGTTAGGTGCTGTCAATTTCCCCCTGAAATAGTAGTGCAGAATGTCACAGCTGATATTTAGTCATTACTACTATATATTCTTTGAGATATACATGCACACACTATTCTTTTCTTCCTGAGTTGTGGAAGTATAATAACAACATGCTGTTTTGGAGTCTAGAAGAAAGATATAACAATTTGTTTTATTTTTACTTCCTCTCCTAGTTATAATAAAATCCAAGGAGAAATACAGTCATTAGGATTGTTTTCCATCTATGTTCTAAAAAGTTGCTGTTGTTTACAATAAATCAGCTAATATAATAAGTAATTTGATATGTTGTATTTGTGGGATTGACTTTTGATTTGCCTAAAATGTTAAAGTTTTCTTCTCTTAGAGAATATCTTACAAATGCTTTAAAAATAAAGTCGGGGACAACGGACAGTCAAATCAGACCAGTCTTTTGCCTGTAGGCTCATCTTTAATATATTATTATCTGTCCAGTTTTTCATTTTGATAAGCAAAGCAACCCAGATAATACCAAAGTCATTTATCTCTTGAGGCTACAACCAGTGCATTGCTACTTCTTTGATGAGCGAACGTATTCACTGGAAGGAAAGACACATTGACATTGACATTTTATTCACATTAGATGATATTGGAAAAAATAGTCATCAACTCTCAATCACTTATCATTGGAAATACAAATATTCTTATTTCTTCTACTAGAGTTTCTGGACTTAGATTCTTTCATCATCATGAAACCTGGCATCAAAATGGATTAAAATAATCTCGTGGGAGGAGATATTCTGGGTTATATAATGGGTATTAAGGAATTTCAGCTGACATCAGATAAATGGCTTTCAGATAGCAATTAGCAGATAAAGAATTAGAGAATTTTAGGGTCCTTATGTTATTCATAGATGCTTTCTAATAACAGTAACAGAGTATTAATGCATGCTAGAGAAGTCTGTAATCTATACTCTGTGTGAAGAAGTTGGGTTGATGTGTCCTTTTGATTCTCCTTTTTCTTTTATATTTCTCAGGTCCTTGAACCAGATTTTGCAGTGAAAGGATAAAACAGCTCCAATTCTTTCAAAAGGACCAAATATAAAGTGACACAGTCCTAATCTCTATAGAAAATTGTGCATGTTACCCAGAAAGTGTTTAAGAGATTTAATTTTAAAATCAAATAACAAATAGAAAAGCAAATTATTTTCTTCACTATTAATAATATATCTCGATTAATATTTGAAAAAAATATTATTAAAAGCAGTTCATTGCAGGGACCAGCAGTTAGCATAATGGCTATGACCGTGGTTCAAGTCCTGGACCTGGTGGCTTAAACTCATGCTAGGCGCGTTTGCGTGTGTGCCCAAGATCCCGAGAGAAGAATGGAGGAGAAGGGATTGTGGTGTGGCCATCCTCCCTGGGGAGTGATTTCTCGCTTTCTGTCTCTCTGTCTCTCTCTGTCTGTCTGGTGAGCGCACCCGCCCTATAGCAAAAACCTCTCCAAAAAAAAAAAAAAAAAAGGCAGGTCATTGCACTTTTCTTATTTTAAATATTAATGAGAACAATATAAAGCATGACAGTACAAAATGATGAGGGTCATTTTTAATACATACATACATGTATGTATTGTGTGTGTGTGTGTATTGGGTCATCGAATAAGTCATGATGCATTTTTGGATAGAATAACACATCATGACTTTTCTGATGACCAGGTGCGTGTATATGTGTGTGTGTGTGTACATATATAGACATTTGTGTATACACATAACACATATATATGTGTGTATATATGTGTACGTATATATATATATGTATGTGTGTGTGTGTATTACACATTTTTAAACATATATACACATGCAACAATCCTCTTCCTTCTGTTTTTCAAATCTTCAGCACTTGCATTCGGGCAGAGCACGTTTTAGGCTGACCAGGCAGAGGAATTCAACCATAGCTACCATGTGGGATCCAACAAGTTGACCACAGTGGGCATAAGAGTGACTTTCTTTGTATTTATCCTGCTCAGGGTTCATCAAGCTTCAAGTATCTTTTAAGTTTATGTTGAAACGTTCAAAAGATTTCAAAAATCTCAGTCACATTTAAAAATAATTATTTTTAAAAATTTTGCTCAGCTATTTGTGTGCATAAGTGTGTGTGTGTGTATGTGTTTGAGTTTTCATTAGTTTAAGAGGGTGTTTTTACATTTTCCATATTTTGATTGGCATGTACATATTTACTCATTCTTTTCTTATTGTCATCTGTATTCTTCTGTTTATTTTATCTAGTAAACATGTTTATACTAGAAATTAGTTTTCACTTGTAGAATTTCTATTTTTCTTAGAATTTCTATTGTTCTATTTCTATTTCTGTTTAATTTTTTTCTTAGGCATAGTGACAACAGCTGCTAATCTACTAAGTTCCACATCTGGATCGTCAGTTTCACTCTCTCAATACTGGTGGCCTTTTCTCTTGAGAAGATTACATTTTTGTCTTTCTTTGTATGTTGAATTGTTTTGCATTATATCATGGTATTGTGAGATTATTCTTGAAGTTTCTGGGTTTAGTTAGTATTTTTGCAAAGAGCCTCCCCTCTCCCTTTTTCTCCCTCTCTTCCTTCCATTTTTCTTTCTTGTTTAAGTGGTCAGTCAGATTTGTAAGACTGAAACGGTGAGCAATCTTTTGGGTAGTAGTTCAAACACAGCTCAGTTCACTTATCCACAGATGTACTCCTCGAAGCCAAACATTCAAGATTCAGGAGTCACTTGGATTTTTTAAAATTTTGATAGATTTTTACAAACGAACTTTGGGACACTAGAGTTCTCTATTTGTCAGAATTCCCTACTCATTCAAATTTCAGTGGTGGTGGTTGACCTCAGGTCTTTTTATTGTTTTTTTTCAGAAATACTTCTTATTTTTAATCTAAATTTTAACCACATGACATGGTGAGGACTGTGGCAAGCCTTTGGATTAGAAGGTATAAAATGAAGAGCACTCAATGATATTCCTTTATTCCAGAAATTTATTCTTTCCAGAATCTTCTTTTTTTTTTTATTTTTTTATTTTGGTAGAGATTTTCGCTATAGGGTGCCTATGCAAGGCAGAAAGATAGAGACAGAGAGCTAGAAAGTGAGAAATCACCCCCCAGGGGGGATGGCCATGCTGCAATCCCTTCTCTTCCATTCTCCTCTCAGGATCTTGGGCACGCACACACACGCGCCCAGCATGAGTGTAAGCTGCTGGGTCCAAGACTCAAACTACGGTCGCCTACATGAGAGTACAGCAACATAGCCATCACACCAACTACTGGTCTATAGTTGGCATTTTCTAGTCAGTTAGTGGTTGAGGGCTTTTTTTTTTTTTTCTCCTTCTTCATTTTGTTAATAAAACATAGTTTTTATCTGCAGAATGATTTGGCTGACAATATTCTACAATATTGACTAGAATATTGCTTGGTGAACCTGAAGCAGGATAAATACAAAGAAAGCCACTTTTAGGCCCTCTGTAGTCAACCTGTTGGATCCCACATGTTAACTGTGCTTGAATTCCTCTGCCTGGTCAGCCTAAAGCATGCTCTGCCTGAATGCAAGTGCTGAAGATTTGAAAAATGGAAGGCAGAGGATTGTTGTGTGTATATATGTTCAAAAATGTGTAATACATACACACACATATATACACACACATATATATGTATATATATTAACACACATAGTATTCTATAATATTTTATTCATAGAGAATGAAAGTACTTTAGCATTAAGAGTATAATTATTGGGACCAGCAGATGGCATAAATGTTATTTTGTTGGACTCCCACATAATCGATCATGGTTTGAGTCCTGCACTTGGTGGCTCAAAACTTATTCTGGGCACATTTGCATGCATGCCCAAAATCCCAAGAGGAAAATAGAGAAGGGGTTGCTGCATGGCCACCCACCCCGGGGAGTAATTTCTTGCTTTCTGTCTTTCTGTCTCTCCAGTGAGTGCATGTGCCCTCTGGGGGAAAAAAATTACAACTATTTATTTTCTAAAAAAGACAAAATAAAATTTATAATGAAATGGATATTTATAAAATATTTCCCTGTTACCAGAAGGATTCTCTTTCTCTAAACAGGACAAACATGTGAAAATCAGCTAGATCACTATTTTTTACTTACTATGTTCCAGAAATTTACTTATGGTAAAATAATTACACTTTCGAGGCCAGCAGGTGGCATGGTGGTTAAGGAACTGAGCTCCCATATGGCCGACCACACTTCAAGTCCTTGACTTGGAGGCTTGCTTCTCATTTTCTCTCTCTCCCTCTCTCTCTCATCAAATTAAATAATAGTAATAATAATAATAATATTTTAAAAATATTATCACTATAGAAGAAAACTCCCATCCCTAAGGGAACAATATGAAGTATATTTGCTTCACCAGGAAATATGTATGGACATGAAGATCTTGGGAGTTTCTACATATCTCTTTAGATTGTAGAGACTTCTTTCTTTTTCTTATTTAATATTTGTTGAGTGTTCCTCCTGAAGTAGTATTACATTCCAGTACAGGACTTTATTTAGCATTTCTGAACAGGCTTCTCCTTGCACAGCTAGAACAGACATTCTAGCTATATGCAGTATATGATTGTACTACAAATGAAATCTATTTCCTGTAAACCACATATGAATTTGGCCATGGGAAACTACCCCCTGATA